GGAAGACTCCCTTTCTTTGTCAACAAGACTCTCTCTTTCCCTCAGTTGGGGGTCACTTTGAAGCCTCCGACACCCACGTCTTCTGGCCCAGTGACAAGACAGACCAACGCTCACCGAGGTCCCTACCATAGGGTCCCTTCCCAGGGCATCACCCACGTAGATTTTGGCCCTCCGGCTCCTCCGCTGTGGCGCGCCCCTCAGACCACAGAATCACCCTCCACCCACTTACGGAACATGCCCTCGGTCTCTTCCACGCGGAGTCCCGTCCCCTTCGTCACGTCCTCGGGGGGCTTCCGTCAAAAGCTGTTTGCCGGGGGACCCCCAGACTCTCAATTCTGGACGCTTGGGGAGAAGCCACAGATCGTCACCCAGTTCCCGCAGAGCGTGACGGTCACAGCGGAGACGGATGCCGTGTTTCCCTGTGAGGCGACGGGGAAGCCCAAGCCTTTCGTCACCTGGACGAAGATTTCCACAGGTAAGGTGTCTCGGTGTCTCCACTGTACCTCGAGCTTTTCTAGGAGGACGTGCCTGGACTCAGTGGCTCCCTGTAGAAGCAGAGCCTCTGGGCAAAGGATGAGTGGGTAGGATGGGAGAGGGCATCTGAGACCTTACTTTCAAGCATGTTTCTTCTTCTTCTCTCTCTTTCTTTCTTTTTTAGAAATAATTACTTTATTTAACTTTATTTTATTTATTTATTTTAATTTGACCAGAGAGTGGGACAGAATGAGAGAGAGAAAGAGAGAGAGAGAGAAAGTGAGAAAGCAAGCTGCCAGATCTGGGACTTGAACCACAGTCAGCCATGGGGGAGTCCAGTGACCTTAACCACCACTTGCTGGTCCTGGACATGCACTTTTAATGGAGCCAAGAAAAACATTGAATGGGTCCTTTGCATGGTGCATCAACTAGGATTTGAGATATTCTATGAGGGATCCTCTCCCCTACCCCAAGTTGGGTCCAGGACTCAAACTTTCACCACCCATGTTGGGGTACAATAGGGTTGAAGGAAAGTTTGCAAATCCCTTTTATCCTACTGGCCTGCAACAGTAACCCCAGCTTGGTCAGAGATCAACCTCTGACCTCAGCACTGACAAGGTGCTGCTCTGATTTGAACCTACAGATAAGGTTCTGTAAGTTTTCTCAGGCTGCCGTAATGCAACCCCTTGGGTTGGAGGTTTAACATGATGATAACATGCATAGTGTTCCCAGTTGGACTGGTGGCAAATGCATTCATGTTGGGGACATTCGCGTTACAAGCTAAGTGACACATGTGATTGAATGTATACAAGAAATGGAAATAAAAAGTAAACAACATAAAATAAAACACGGATATTTATCCTCTCCCTATCCTGGAGGCTGGAGTCTGAGGTCCAGGTTAGGCAGAGATGGTTCCTCCTGAGCCCTCTCCTTGCTGTGGAGACACCGTCTTCTCTGTCCCCACGTGCTCATCCTTCCGTGTGGGTCTGCGTCTTCGCCTCTCCTTGTAAGAACTCAAATCCTGCTTGAATTAGCACTCAAACGAATGCCCTCATTTTTAACTTCATTCTTGATGTAAAGATACTGTCTCCAAACATAGTCACCTTCTGAACCTCCTAGCTATTAGGAGTTCAACAGAAAAATGTGGGGAGGTGAGTCAGAGGTGGAGTGGTAGTTAAGAGGCTGAATCACATATGGCCAGTGCCACAGTTCAAGTCCTGGATCGGTAGCTTGAAAAACACCAAGCTCTTGCGCGTGTGTGCCCAGAACTCCAAGAGGAGAATGGAGGAGAAGGGAGCATGACCATCCTCCCTAGAGGGTGATTTCTCATGTTCCCACTCTGTGTCTGCCTCTCTCTGGCAAGCACCTGTGCTGTGTGGGGGAGGGGATGCCATTCAAAATTCAGACCCTAACAACGGTCTACACTGCCCGATGTTTGAAGTTCCAAGATGCACAATAAATACTCCGCTGAGTAAATCGACCCTCTGTGCTATCCAGTGGCAAAACCACTTTTAGGAACTCAAAGAAAATAAAAGCTAAGAAGCACAGCCTCTATAAAAGGCCATCCCCCCCTTTTTTTCCCCTCTCTAAACACAATGCTATCCTCCCCTCGGATCCTGCTTACAGGTCTTTGGCTTGTTTTGTTCATTTCTTTCTCTCCATTTGGATATTCCACAAAGGAGTTATCTTCTTACATGGAGGAGCAATGTATTTTCTTTGCTTATGTGTATCTCCCAAACCCTGGAAGCTCGACAAGTTCCCAGAGATTCACAAAAGATCATAGCCGAGGGGGGTGATTTACTTTGATCAGCTCAGCATTGGAAGTTGTCTGTTTTTGCAATGATTTAATAATGAAGGTTGCTTGCAGTAGCAAACGGGGGATGCACATGTGGTTGTCATTCTCAAAGAGTTATGCTGTTGAAGGGATCCATTCTTCCAATGGGTCAGAATACCCCACTGGTATTAATCCGTAGGCTCTTCCATGTCACGGGGTATTGCAAAGTATCCCTGGGTCATGTCCGGCAAAAGACCTTCAGGCACAATCTTTGACCCTCCAGGAGTCAGGTCCAAATGCAGTCTTCTCCCTTGTGAGCTAGCTCTGGCTGCTAAAGAGTTCTGTCTCATTGCATGGAAGAGTGAGCTGGTGTCACCTCCATAGCTATGTCGACAGAAATAAGCAAACCCTGTGGAAATGACAATTGCAGTGGTTTATTCTCAGCACGGTTCTGCGGTATCTCCTGGGACGCTCAGATGGGACAGTTCTTGCATTCAGATCTGAGTGTAGGAGAGTTATTAATCAGCATTAGACATCTTTTCATTGGCCTGGCCCCAAAAGGTGGGACATCTGGAGGTGATGGATTCTGGATTTATAGATGGGTTTAGAAATTCTTAGGTTATTGAGGTTGGCAGATGGCATGGTGATTAAGGACACTGGACTCCCATTCCCCGTGACTGACTGCGGTTGGAGTCCCAGACCTGCCAACTTGCTTTCTCACTTTCCCTCTTTCTCTCTTTCTCTCTCTCACTCTCTCCTTCTCTGGTCAAATTAAAATAAATAAATAAAGCCAAATAAAATCATTTAAAAAAAGAAAAAGAAAGACAATCTTAGGTTATTAGGGACCAGCTGATGGCATAATGGTTAGGTCGCTGGACTCCCACCTAGTCGACTGTGGTTAGAATCCCAGACTTGGTGACTTAAAACTCATACCAGGTGCGTGTGCGTGTGTGCCCAAAATCTAGAGAGGAGAATGGAGAAGAAGGGTGTGCGGCGTGGCCATCCCCTCTAGGGGGTGATTTTTCGCTTTCTGTCTCTCTAGTGAGCACATGTGCCCTATAGCAAACATCTCTCTCTCTCTCTCTCAAAAAAAAAAAGATTTTTAGGTTAGTAATTGTTTAAATATGCAAGTCTTTGTCTCAAACACATTTAGAGTCTATAGAAAACAAACGTCTGATTTTAGTCTAAATGTATTAGGTCATCAGGAAAGTCATGACATGCTTTTCTATGCAAGGATGCCTCATGGTTAACCCAATGACGCAATAGGAAAGCCTTGCTGTGTACCTGCTGATGCTATGCTGGATCAGGACGTGAGCACCTGATCACCAGACCAGAGCCATCTGTTACAGCGAGATGAGTGTTTGCAGACCTGACTCTCCCCGGGCCCCTGGAAAGCATCTTAGAAGAGCCGGACACCTGTCTGTAGATGGCTGTGCTCTGTTGTCTTAGAGCTGCATGAAACCTCAGTTTATCTGGAAGCCTGTGCCTCCCAACTAAACCAAATTAGCACTTTCATTTGGGCATTGGCAAGAAATGCAAGAGCATCTTATACCTGCCCCAGGGCAATTGCTAAATATTAGCAGTCTTACCACTCCGAACCATGAGAAATAAACAAACACTACCTCTGCATCATAAAATGCCTGGAAAGAAAACTGTCTCCATGGCTGAAGGTCTGCAGGTCGGCGTCCATGCCCGAAATCTCCTGCCATTCAGGAGGGCTCCAGCACAAAGGCAGATACCTTCTTAGCTGCACTGCCTGGGAGGTAGGGAGGTCATGCCAGCCCTGACCCAGAGCCACTCTCTAAGACCTTCAAGGCCACACGGACTCACTGGGTGGCCTGAGACTGATTTTGAAGGAGTCAGGAAGCAGTGGTGTGTTCATGGCTTCCGCAAACATACCAGAGTCGTGACCGGGTTTCACGGACCATTCTGTGTTGGAATAACCCACCCGTTAGGGACCGCATTGTCTCTACCATGGGGAAGGAGGTCACCGGGGCGGGGAGATGAAGATTATGGAGAGCTTCCAGGGTCTGAAACCTTCATCCAATGGCCAGATGCCCTCTGTGGAGAATGTTATTCTCCAAACACGCAGGGGAGCTTGTCAGAACTCAGCGGATAGCCTGTGGGTGGAGCCCAGACCCAGGAACGGAAGGAGGACCTGCTGAAGCTGAGGGTTTTCCAGGGCTCTACCACATAAACCCAGAAATCTATTATATTCCAGTCGGGTGAGGCCAACCATTCTGCAGTGGACTGCCATTAAATTGACCATTTGTTCCTCATGTATACTTATAGACACGTACGCAAACAATGGAATGCACACATCTGTATCTGTGTAGTATGTTGCAATACACATGTACATATATGCATGTGTACAATATTGGTTTATATATATATATATATGTACACATACATATATACACACACACAATAGCATACTCTCTGTGTGTGTATGTATGTGTATATGTGTGTGTATGTATGCAGATACCTTGAAAGGAAGCATGAGTCTCTCTAGTGCATGAGGATTATAGACAGCTTCCAGGGTCTGAAAACTTCATCCAATGGCAAGACTCCCAACCTGGAGAATGTTATTTGCCAAGGACTCAGAAGCGCTTGTATATATACATACACACAAATATGTATATATATGCATATATACACATGCATACGAAGATGCAGAAGAGCTTGTATACATACATTTGTATGTGTGTGTATATCCACACACACAAATATGCATGTATGTATTTATGTATATGTACATGTCCATGCGGTAGAATACAAATATGTGTGTACATATATTTATATGTGTGTTTTAAAACACACAGAGACACATGCATGCACATTCTCTTTTAAAAACGATTTATTCTTATTTATTCTTATTTATTTATTTATTTATTTTTTAGAGAGAGATTTTTTTTTTGCTATAGGGAGTGTGTGCTTACCAGAAAGACAGAAAGACACAGAGAGACAGAAAGTGAGAAGTTGCCCTCCAGGGGTGATGGCTACACCACAATCCCTTCTCCTCCATTCGCCTCTCGGGATTTTGGGCATGCATGCACATGCATATGATGTGAGTTCTAAGCCACGGGGTCCAGGACTTGAATTGCGGTAGACTATGTGTGTCTAATGACTTAACCATTATGCCATCTGCTGGTTTCTATGATATTATTTTAAAATGTATCCAGAGAGAGAGAGACAGGGTGGGGGTGGGGTGGAGTGAGAAAGCAAGCTGTTAGACCCAGGACTCCAAACCCAGTCAGCCATGTGGGAGTCCATCACCTTAAATACCATGCCACCTGCTGGCCCCCACACATTCTCTTTAGTCATTCATCTGTGAGTGGTCACTGACATTGATTCTGTGTCTTGGATCCTGCACATAACGCTACAGTACAACAGATTGAGAGTACAGTTACCCCTTCGACACCATGTTTTCATGTCCTTTGGGTATACAAGCAGACCTGGGATTGCTGACTGATACGGTAATTCTATTTCTGCTTTTTGAAGAACCAGCCTCCATAGTGTGTTCCACAATGACTGTCCTGATTCACATTCCCGCCAGCAGTGAACCAGAGTTTCCTCTGTTCCATTCGTCCATGCTTTTCTTTTGTCTTTTTGCTAACAGTCTCCTTGACAGGGGAGAAGCGATAGTTCAATGTGCTGTCAGTTTGCAATGCCGTGATTGTCCACTCTTGCTGCTTTGCACATAGCAAGGAGGATTCGATTATGTAACGAGAATTGCTGCTTTGGTTGTTTCTGACAGGATGCAGTTTGTATCACAGCTCACTGTATGTGCTGTTGTTCTTCAGGGGCTCTCATGACTCCTAACACAAGGATTCAACGGTTTGAAGTCCTCAAGAACGGCACATTTGTCATCCGGAAGGTGCAGGTGCAGGATCGTGGCCAGTACATGTGCACTGCCAAAAACTTGCACGGGGTGGACAGAATGGTGGTCCTCCTGTCCGTTACAGTACAGCAGCCCCAAATCCTAGCCTCTCATTACCAGGATGTCACGGTCTACCTGGGAGACACCATTGCAATGGAGTGTTTGGCCAAGGGGACGCCGGCCCCCCAAATTTCCTGGATCTTCCCAGATGGCAGGGTGTGGCAGACTGTGTCACCTGTGGAGGGCCGGATCACGCTGCATGAAAACCGGAGTCTGTCCATCAAGGAGGCGTCCTTCTCAGACAGAGGTGTCTACAAGTGTGTGGCCAGCCCCGCAGCGGGAGCCGACAGCCTGGCCATCCGCCTCCACGTGGCTGCTCTGCCCCCTGTTATTCACCAAGAGAAGCTGGAGAACATCTCACTGCCCCCTGGGCTGACCATTCAAATTCACTGCACTGCCAAGGCTGCACCACCGCCCAGCGTGCGTTGGGTTCTCTGGGACGGGACCCAGATCCGCCCTTCGCAGTTCATCCATGGGAACTTGTTTGTTTTCCCCAACGGGACACTGTACATCCGCAACCTCATGCCCAAGGACAGTGGGCGCTATGAGTGCGTGGCCACCAACCTGGTGGGCAGCGCCCGCAGGACAGTGCAGCTGACCGTGCAGCGCACAGCCGCCAACGCTCGTATCACTGGCACCTCCCCACGGAGGACGGATGTCAGGTACGGAGGGACCCTGAGGCTGGACTGCAGTGCCTCAGGGGACCCCTGGCCACGTATTCTCTGGAGGCTGCCATCCAAGCGGATGATTGATGCATTTTTCAGGTATGTGTCCACCTCCATGCCTTGCCATAAATTCCTGGGCTCCTGGCCTCCTCTTGTGAGTTAGGGACACGTCTGGTAGCCAGAAGGACATGAGTCCTCTCTAGGACGAATGTGCACAGGGGGTATATCCTGTGTGTGCTTTTTACTTATTTTTTAAAGAGAGATTTCTGCTATAGGTCACATGCGCTCACTGAAGAGGCAGAGAGACAGAAAGTGAGAAATCACCTCCTGGGGGGGGGGAGACCACACTGCAATCCCTTCTTCTCCATTCTCCTCTTGGGATCTTGGGCATGCACGCATATGTGCCCAGCATGAGTTTTAAGCCACTGGGTCTGGCACTTGATTACATGGGAGTCCAGCAACATAACCATGATGTCATCTGCTGGTCCTCATAGGATTATATTTTTAATGGTATTTTAAAAATACCCTTCTCCTCCATTCTCCTTCCTGGATCTTGGGCACGCACATACACACACCTAGTGTGAGTTTCAAACTACTGGGTCCTGCACTTGAACTGCAGTCCACCATGTGGGAGTCTAGCATTGGAATCGTTCTACCATCTGCTGAGCTCTCTTACTATTTTTTAAATATTTAATTACTTCACAGCATACAAAATGGACTATGTGGGTATAAGTATACTGCATATTAATCCCATCCCAGATATTACCATATGCATTATCATCAACAATTTTTTTTTCATTTTTCCATCCATTAAAAGTTTTGGTTTTTTCTTTCCCTTGATTCCCTCCCTCTTGTTCCCTATTACCTAACCCCTCTCCTCAGTCTCACCAGAGATCCATAACTGCTCTCCATGCCTTCATGCCTTCCAGTTTTTCAGGGTCTGCCATAGAGTGCAGACATCCAGTATATATTGAGTGGGGATATACAGTGCTTCTCTTTCATAGCCTGGCTTGTTTCACTCACCATTACATCTTCCATATTAGTTCACTTTCTCTCAAATGCTACGGCCTCATTGCAGGCTACATTTCAAACTTTAGATGTCTGTGATGTGCTTTCAGGGTTAGACACCATGAGTCATGAATACCACATACCCCAATTTAACCCTGAGGTCTCTTCCAGCTGAACAGAAGTGAGTCCATTTGAGATGTGTTTTTCACCAATTCTGCTGTGCCAGGGTTCAACAGATGACCATAAAAGAATAAACTCTAGGCCATTTGGTGGCATGTTAATTCACATGGCTAGATCCCTCATGGTCAGCTGTGTGGTTCAAGTCCTGAACATGGTGGCTTGAACAATATATTGGGTGCATGCATATATGTGTCCTAAATCCCAACAGGAGAAATAGACAAGGAATTGTGATGTGGCCACCTTCCATGCAGGGTGATTTCCCAGTTTTACTCTCTGTCTGTCTTTCTCTGGCAAGCACACACACCCTCTACCAAATTTTTTAAAAACAGAATGAAATTCTGGGATGAGTTTGAACCATTCTGTTGGTATGTCTGTATTAAATCCTACATACGTTAGAAGTCGTTATCTCTGTGGCTTCATTATTATTATTTTTTGGAGAGATTTTTGCTATAGGGTGTGTGCGCTCACCAGAAAGAGAGAGAGAGAGAGAGAGAGAGAGAGAGAGAGAGATCATCTCCTGGGGGGATGGTCATGCCACAGTCCCTTCTCCTCCATTGTCCTCTCAAGATCTTGGGCATGCACACACACATGCCCAGTGTGAGTTTAAGCCACCGGATCTGGAACTCGAACCATGGTCAAGTACATGGGAGTCCAGTAACATAGCCATTACACTAACTGCTGGTCCCTGTGGCTTCATTCCTAAAAAATTCTAACTACTGGGTTGTTGGAAAAGTCATGACATATTTTTCTATGTTTTTCTATGCAAAAATGGGTCATGATGTTTCCAACGACTCAATGTATTTTTGGCAAAGTGTCGTTAGACAACCCACATGACTTTTCTCAACATGTGGGCTTTGGGCTCTGCCCACATGGCAGGAATATTTTTAAATACACAAGGTGAGCCAGCAGGGAGCGTAGAGGTTAAGGCACTAGATCCTCCATAGCTGATTGTGCAGTTCGAGTCCCGGACAGGAAGCTCGAGATTCACGCTAGGCATGTGTGCATGTGTGCCCAAAATCGCAAGAGGAGAATCGAGGAGAAGGGGCTGTGATGTGACCATCCTCCATGTGGAGTGATTCCTCACTTTTCCTCTCTATCTTTCAGTCTTTCTCTGGTGAGCACGCCCCCTCTAGCACATTAAAATACATAGATTAAAAAAAGGATGAAATTCTAGGATAAATTTGAGCCATTCTAGTTATCTGTGTAGTAAACGCTGCATACATTAGAAGTCATTATGTCTGTGGCTTCATTCTTAAGACATTCTAACTATATTCTTGGCAAAATGTCTTTCAACAGCCCATGTGAGTTTTCTCACAGTGTGGGCTTTCTGCCCTGTTTACATGTTGGGAGTTTTTAAAAAATACTGCCGTTTCTTGGTGCCAAATCCCTCACGATTCATAGGCATGTATTCTTTCCAGATTTGCTCGGTTGAATCTGATGACAAGTTGGAGAAAGGATCAGAGGTATAAAAACCTCAACATGTTTACAGACACAAGCTACTGGGCAAATAGTTTTGATTCACATGGCAGGGCACATTTGCATGTCTTTGCCTGGCTCCCTCCTTATGAAATTACTTAAGGAATAAATGCTACCTTGATTCTCATTTACCGCCAACAATGCAGTTTATTCAGTCATGGTGAGTCATTGCTTTTATGAACAGCGATGAGGCTGGATTCAATTGCACACCGTTTTCTTTTGTTTTTATTTTCCGTCTGTGAGCTCACCAAAGAGAGACAGCGAGAGAGAAAGCATCCCCCAATGGGAGGGGGGGTCTCATTGCATTTTCTTCTCCATTTCTCCATCCTTTCAGATCTGGGCACACATACAGATACACACGAAGTGTGTGTGTGTGTGTGTGTGTTTAAGAGGTTTTTACCTTAGGGCACGTATGCTCACCAGACAGACAGTGAAAGGGAAAGTGAGAAATCACCTACCGGGGGGGGGAAGGTCATGCTGCAGTCCTTTCTCCATTCTGCTTCCAGGATCTTGGGCACTCATGCATAGATGCCTGGCATGATTTTCAAGCCACTAGGTCTGGGACTTGAACCGCAGTTGGGCATGTGGGAATCCAGCAATGTAATGGATATACCATTTGCTGTCTTTTATCAAACCACCAGGGCTGGGATTTGAACCTTGGTTAGCCAAGTAAGATCTGGTTACCTTAACCACTATGCAGTAGGACTGGCCCAAATGGACTTGGTTTTTTTTGTTTGTTTGTTTTTCTTTTTCTTTTTTTTTTTTTTTTGGAGAGGTTTTTGCTATAGGGCATGTGCACTTGCCAGACAGACAGAAAGAGACAGGGAGACAGAAAGCGAGAAATCAATTGACCATGCAGCAACCCCTTCTCCTCCGTTCTCCTCTTGGGATCTTGGGTACACACGCACATGTGCCCGGCGTGAGTTTTAAGTCACCGGGTCTGGGACACGAACCACGGTTGACTACATGGGAGTTCAGCGACATAGCCATTACGCTAACTGCTGGTCCCTGTTTGTTTTTCTTAAGATTACTGAGAGTTTGGCTAGCCATGGTGGCAGATACCCACTCAAAACTCCAGGCAGAACTCACAGCATAGGGGAGGTTCTGAGTTCCCATGCCAAGGTCTCTCTGTACGTGTGGGGGACATGTGTGTACCTGGGATCCCAGCTAGCTGAGTCTGCAGGTGGATTGTGGTTGGAAGATCCCCTTGGTGGCCTCTCTCTCTTTCTCTCTCCTGGAAGAAATAAGGGGAGGAACTTACACTGTCACTCTCTTCTGGACATGCCATTAGAAGTATGCAGTGTGGGGACCAGCAGATGGTGGAATAGTTACGTTGCTGGACTCCCACACGCTCAACTTTGGTTCAGGTCCCAGATATAGCACCTTAAAACGCACGCTGTATGTGTGTGTGTGTGTGTGTGTGTGTGTGTCTGTGTGTGTGTGCGTGTGTGCATCCCAAGAGGAGAATGGAGGAGAAGGGATTGTGACATGGCCATCCCTCCTGGGGGGATGATTTCTTGCTTTCTCTCTGTCTCTCCAGCAAGCACACACGCCCTATAGCAAAAATCTCTTAAAAAAAAAAAAAAGAAAGAAAGAAAAGGGAAAGAAAAAAGAAAGAAAGAAAAGAAAAAGAAACATTCAGTGAAATATCCCTAGATTAAAACTCAAGGAAGACACCTCCCACAGGTCACCTCTGTAGCGTGTATGTAAACAAGAATTTCACACAGACCTTCTTACAGTGAGACTGTCTCAGATCTTTTCACGGGGTTATTGAAAACGTGAGTTCTGAACGACTCAAGGGTCTGCCCCTGTGTGTAAGAACACCATGTGTAGAGTGAAGGTCCTTCTACTGTTCTCTTCCTGTTGTTGTCGTTAACGGAAGAGCTTTCTCGGCTACTAACTTAGAGATTCTCGGAGTTCACCTGGAGGAAAGAGAGCTGACATGGTATTTTGGCTAGCGAATGCCATTCAGTTTTGCTTTTTTATAAAGTTTTGCTGTACAGTGCATATACTTACCAGAGAGAGATGGTGAGAGCGAGAAAGAGAGGGAACATGAGAAAGCACCCCCCCCTCCCAGGGGTATGTCTACACTGCAATCCTCTCTCCTCCATTCTTTTGGGATTTGGGGTACACACACATACACACACACACATACACACACACACACACACACACACACGCCCAGCAGTGCTTTTCAAGTCACTGGGTCCAGGAATTGAACCACACAGCTGGTCATGTGGGATCCCAGACCTGATAGTTTGCTTTCTCACTTTCCCTCTCTCTTTCTCTGGCAAAACTCATGTGAAATAATAATAACAATAATACAAAAAATGACTTAAAGAAAAAGAAATTGTGTTTGTCTATTGCAAGGTTATTTATTTCTCTCATGAGTGAGAGAAAGAGAGAAACAGCAACACAACGGGATTTTATTTTCTTTTTGCCATTTTGCCATAGGGCACATACACTCACCAGAGAGAGAGAGAGAGACAGAGAAAGAGAGAGACACAGAGAGAGACAGAGAGAGAGAGAGACAGAGCAGGAAAGTGAGAAATCAAACCCCAGGGGAAGATGGCCACAGATCAATCCCTTCTCCTTCATTATCCAGTTGAGATTTGGGGCACACACACACACACACACATACATGTGCCTGGTGTGATTTTCAAGCTGCTGGGTCCAGGTCTTGAACTGTGGTTGGCCACGTGGGAGTCCAGAGCCTTAACCACCATGCTACCTGCTGGCCTTTCCCAACAGAGTCTAGACCTTACAATCCACTCCTAACCTCAGCCAGTTGAGATCAGGAACACACACACATTACCGGTATGTATTCTGTGAGCTCTCTGGGCTTGAATCCAGAACCTTCCCACGTGGGCCAGCCTTGAAGAATGTCATGTTTTTGCACTGTGTCACCTTCCAACCCTCCCAGGCCTGAAGTCTTCCGATGTATTTTACAATCCAGATTCGATGGCTGGCCCAGATTAAGATCAAATACAGCCAAGGACTTCTTTTCTTTTCTTCTTTCTTTTCTTTTCTTTTCTTCTTTTCTTTTCTTTTCTTTTCTCTTTTTTCTTTGCTTTGCTTTGCTTTGCTCTTCTCTTCTCTTCTCTTCTCTTTTTTCTTTTCTCTTTTCTTCTCTTCTCTTCTCTTCTCTCTTCTCTTCTTTCTCTTTTCTCTCCTCTCCTCTTCTCTTCCTTCTCTTCTCTTCTCTTCTCTTCTCTCTTCTCTTCTTTCTCTTCTCACTTCTTTCTCTTTTCTCTTCTCTCTTCTCTTCTCTTCTTTTCTCTTCTCTTCTCTCTTCGCTTCTTTCTCTCTTCTCTTCTCTTCTCTTCCTTCTCTTCTCTTCTCTTCTCTTCTCTCCTTTCTCTTCTCTCTTCTCTCCTCTTCTCTTCTCTCTTCTCTTCTTTCTCTTCTCACTTCTTTCTCTTTTCTCTTCTCTCTTCTCTTCTCTTCTTTTCTCTTCTCTTCTCTCTTCGCTTCTTTCTCTCTTCTCTTCTCTTCTCTTCCTTCTCTTCTCTTCTCTTTTCTCTTTTTTTTTCTTTTGGGTTTTAAATTTTTTGATGTAGGGTGCACGTGCTCACTGGAGACAGCGAGAAGGCAAGTGAGAGATCACCCCCAGGGGGAATGGCCACTTCACAATCCCTTCTCCTCCATTCTCCTCTTAGGAGTTGGGGCATGCACAGATGCACAGCCAGCGTGATTTTCAAGCCACCATGTCTGGTGGCTTGAACCACGGTGGGCCATGTGGGAATCCAGTGCCTCAACCACATTGCCACATGTTGCCCGCTAGCCAAAGAGTTCTTACTTGCGGCAAATCATGTTTGCATTGGAGCAAGTCTCCTCTCCCATGCAAAGACCGTTGTCCATTCTGTAGCAACAGTGCCCCCTCCGGGAGCTGTCAGAACCCCCGACTTTGTTTCGTTCCCCATGAGGGAAAGCCAACATGGAACATCGGAGAGACTGACGCCTGCTTGCTTTTCTTCCTCTTTCTCTTCCCTGCCAGTTTCGATAGCAGAGTCAAGGTGTTCACCAACGGCACCCTGGTGGTGAAGTCCGTGACCAACAAAGACGCCGGGGACTACCTGTGCGTGGCCCGGAATAAGGTGGGTGACGACTACATCGTGCTGCAGGTGAACGTGGTGATGAAGCCCGCCAAGATCGAGCAGAAGGAGGAGAACGACCACCAGGTCTTCTACGGCGGTGATCTCAAAGTGGACTGCGTGGCCACCGGGCTCCCCAACCCCGACATCTCCTGGGGCCTTCCCGACGGGAGTCTGGTCAGCTCCTCCATGCAGTCCGACGACAGTGGTGGGCGGGCCAAGCGCTACGTCGTCTTCAACAACGGGACGCTCTACTTCAACGAGGTGGGCCCGAGGGAAGAAGGCGATTACACCTGTTTCGCCGAGAACCAGGTGGGGAAGGATGAGATGCGGGTGCGTGTGAAGGTGGTGACGGAGCCGGCCGCCATCCGGAACAAGACGTACTCCATGGTCCAGGTGCCCTACGGGGACGTGGTCATGGTGGCCTGTGAAGCCAAAGGCGAGCCCATGCCAAGTGTCACTTGGCTGTCCCCAACCAACCGACTGGTCCCCACGTCCTCCGAGAAGTATCAGATCTATCGCGATGGCACCCTGCTCATCCAGAAAGCCCAGCGGTCGGACAGCGGCAACTACACCTGCCTGGTCAGGAACAGCGCGGGGGAGGACAGGAAGACCGTGTGGGTTCACGTCAACGTCCAGTCGCCCAAGATCAACGGGAACCCCAACGCCATCACCACGGTGCGGGAGGTTGCCGCCGGAGGGGGTCGCAAGCTCATCGACTGCCAGGCCGAAGGCATCCCCACCCCCAAGGTCTTGTGGGCGCTACCGGAGGGCGTCATTCTGCCCGCCCCGTACTACGGGAACCGGATCACCGTGCACCAGAACGGCACGCTGGACATCAGGAGCCTGCGGAAGACCGACTCGGTGCAGCTGGTGTGCATCGGCCGCAACGAGGGCGGGGAGGCCAGGCTCATCGTGCAGCTCACCGTCCTGGAGCCCGTGGAGAAGCCCGTCTTCCACGACCCCGTGAGCGAGAAGATCACGGCCATGGCGGGCCACACCATCAGTCTCAACTGCTCGGCCACGGGGACCCCGGCGCCCACGCTGCTGTGGGTCCTTCCCAAAGGCACGGAGCTGCAGAGC